GGGGGGGGAGCATAACAGACAGCGTAACTCACTATAAGAACTGATGCTCACTTCTTTTAAACATTTAAATATTTGAAGTCATTATGGTTTGGGGAGGTAGAAGGCCTGGGAATGGAGATGCAAATTGGTTTGGAAACAAGTGGGCAGGAGGGAGAGGGCAACAAACTGGTAGGGTTGGGGGCGGGTGCAGGCTAAGGGCATTCACACTTTAATTTGGTGTAAGCAGGTAGACTCTCATCAGATGCTTCCGTCTCAGTCTTCAGTGGGGCAGAGTATTGTGCTGACCGAATACTTCCCCCAAATAAAATACATTGGAACATAATCGAATACAGTGATGCAGAAAAGGCATGAGGAGTGCGGTAAAGCTTACTGTTTATTCTAAATCATTGCCACTAATTCCCAATTGGTTTGTGTAGTTTCATGGGAATGGTAAGAAGAAATTCTTAAGAGATAAAATTAATGATGTTACAAATAGGATATGTAGAACTGATATTAAGGATTATTCAACAAAATATGGCAGGTGAAAGGAAACGTGCTTAAATGATCACATCGTTTGAGGGTAGGGGGAAGAACCCATAGATTCCATTTTATTTTGGAAATTGACAGCAAAACATAAGCATCTTTTTTTTACTCATATAAGATTGGATTGAGGGTTAGAAGTGTCTATTTGGGTTTCTGAGACTTTTAAATCTTTATGGGAGAAGACAGCCTCATTTTTCTTCAATGAAACCACTCGTAGGTTTAAACCATTGATGTATTAACCATCTCAGTGTATAACCCACTACACCATCAGGCCTAAAAATGATAGACATAAATTCAAATATGTCCTAAGAAATAAGAGATAAAATGTAATAAAGCAAACGAAAATTATGGGAATAAGAGCATAAAAAATATTCAGAAAAATATTCTATTCATTCAAATTTTCCATAACATTTTTGAAGCCCCTTGTACACTAGGAGGACATGTAAGATATAAACATAGTAATATAATCAAACATAATTCAATAAAAAAACCTATTTCACAATTAAAAGGGGAAGGTTATATTGAGTAATAAAAGGTAGCAAAATTCAACTAATTTGTGTTTGCTGAAGTTATCATAAAATAAAAAGCATAAATATTATAAAGAGATGAGTTATACCAGATAAAGTCAAAAAAATATGTATATATATATATATATATTTGTTGTTGCTAGTGTGGTTGAGTTGGTTCCAACTCCTCATGACCCTCTGTACAACAGAGAAACACTGTGCAGGCCTGCGCCATCCTCACAACTGTCCTCATGTTAGAGTTCATTGATGCAGCCACTGTGTAAATCCATCTTGTGGAAAGTCTTAACTCTTTCACTCTCCCATTACTTTTCTAAGCCTGGTGTCCTTCCCTAGGGACTGGTCACTCCTGGCAACATGTCTAAAGAACATGGGACAAATGTTGGCATCCTAGTCTCTAAGAACATTCTAGCTGTACTTCTTCCAAGACAGAAGTGTTTGTTCTTTCAGCAGTCCATGGTACTTTCAATATTCTTCACAGCACCATAGCTCAAATACATCAATTTTCATTCGGTCTTCCTTCCTCAATGTCCAACTGCCACTTGCATATGAAACTATTGAAGAAACCATGGCTTGGGCCAGATGCATCTCAGTCCTCAAAGTAACATCCTTGCTTGATAAGGAAGGATAATAAAATTACAATGCAGCAAAATAAAATATCTTGATCAGAGCCTGACTCTCTAGAGATGTCCACTAAATATGTGTCATCTCTGTTCTTTTTGGTACTTAGGTTAAACAAGACTGATGGTCCAAATTGCCAGGAGAGTTGTATGAAACATGTATTATCTTTTCCTACATATTTGAACCACAATATCTGGGCACTTCCCTCTTATGTGACAAGCTTTTGATTATCGTGAGGATTGATTTTACATTATTCATGATTTTCATTTTGTACTTTTCATCATGAAAATGAATTAAATTGGCCTCAATTTCCACTTATAATATGTGTTAGCTCAATGATACATAATAAGAAGAAAAAAGTATTAGGAGTTTGGAATTCTAAGGTAACAATCTCATGGCCAGGATGGTAGCAAAAACTGAAACCAGAAGAACTTGATTAATTCAGTGATGCAAGAAACACTCAATAATGAATTCATTTTGGAACAAAGCAGAAAAACAACCTTCCAGTGAAAGTTTGCTGGTTAAACATAAAAATGCTAAAGTCAATTTAAAAATAGGCTATTTTCATATCTAAAATATGGAAGTATTTTTTGGAAGTATTTTTCAAACTCAGTAGTCTTATGGCCTTGATAAATATATAAGAAATAGTTCCTCTTAATGTCCTCCCACCTCCACCCACACTGGAGCAACACTTTATAAATCACTGATGGATGTAGAGAATTTGGGAACAAGCGGTTTGAAGGATTACAGTTCTAGCTCCATTACTTTCTTGAGATTCTCCCATGACCTCTAGTATAAACCACAAAATATTCCCTTCCCTGCAAAATGAGGGCTAGAACATTCTTGCAGAACTCTCTGGGTTTAATTTGGTACAAGTTGAACTTGGGATTTTCTGCAAGAAATTCAACAGCCATCCTGCTTTGAAGATCTGCAGAAAATTGATTGATTGCTCTAGATTCTTTTGGGACTGTAGGCCACTTAGGATGCTGGCATCAGAAGCCAGGTTCAATTCAATGCGCACACACACACACACACACACACACCATTGTTGAGTCACAGGGTTTCCAAGACCAAAAATTTTGGTCAAACAGATTGCCACATCTTTCACCCATGGAGTGGCAGGTGGTTAAGTCCTCCAACCTTTCAGTCAGCAGTCAACCTCCTAACCACTGGACCTCCAGAGCTCCTCCAATACACTTCCCCACCGATTACCATCAAGAATATGCTGACCCAACTTGCCTCTAAAGGACAGAGTAGAAATGCTTCCCAGAGTTTCTGAGATGTAAATCTTTCCAATAGCCTCATCTTTCTCCCATAGAGCAGCGGCTGGGTTTGAATTACCGAACTGGTGATTAGTTCCCCAATGCTCAAACCACTATACAACTGCAAGGGACTGCCAAATACCATTTGAAATACTGGAAAAGGCCAGAACTCAAACAATATGCGAGTAGAATTCATAAGACAGTGATATTTCCGCCACTGAAAGATCTAGGGACAATATCCAATGGAAAGAGATTCCCCAGGATATTCCTAAAATAGAGCAGGAATCTAGCCCAAAGTCAGAATCCATCACACAGGTATTTGATGTGTAGAACTTGGGTCTCTGTGATACTTCCTCAGCCTTGGTGAAAATTGTTAGGAAGATCACAGGATTCTCTTAGTGCTCTCAAATCTTTTGTGGTGCCTTTCTACTATGTCAACTTATTGGCTAGCCCTTCCCTACTGAATCAGGTACTCTTTTATTATTATTATTATTACTAGGATTAAGGTTTACAGAGCAGATCATCATTCTGCCATTCAGCAATTCACACACATATTGTTTCATCTCCTTCATTGCCATCCCCTCTATGTAGTATCACTTATCCCATCTCCTGTTTCCTGCTTCCATTCCTCCTTTGTGCTTAAGCCTTCTGCCTGTGTCCTTGGGTGAATGCTGCCATTTGATCTTTAGTGTGTGTTTATTCTAAAGTATGCAGACTTCATGAGTCTGCTTGTTCAACTTAGAGACCTGGCTGTTGTTTGGCTGAAAATTAAGCCACAGCAGTGCGTTCAGTTCCAGATCCGAAAGGTGATCGGAGCCCACAGTCTCAGGAGTTTCACCCATGTCTAGTCAACCTGTAAGCCTGGTCTCTTTCATGATTTTAGGTTTTGTTCTACATTTTTCTCCCACTCTGTTCAGGATCTTCTAATGTAATCACTGTCTGAGCAGTTGTTAGTCATAGCTGGACTCCATCTAAGAGTCATTGAGTCTGATGTTTGTGCATTACATTTGTCCATTGGTCTAATTGTTTCCAAGTGTCATTTTCAGAGAGAAACCAAGAGTTGTACCTTATGTGGCCTCTCACAAGTTTGTCTCTGGGAATTATGTTCTGTTAATTGACCATGATATCCCCTAAGACGATGGTCCCGAGTCACCATGCCCAATGATTCATTTCCTCTAGGTCTTTGGTTATGTCTAAAAAGTTTTAATAACTTTGTCCCTGTATGCCCTACCATATGCATATTTGCAGCAAAGGTAAATAGCCATTTACAAATATCCTTCCTTCTATACATATTCCGGGGTATACTCACACTCTCCCTCCCACACCTCTTCAACCTGGATGTCTATCTATACATCTACACATATAGCACAGTTCTTGCCAAATTATGTATACTAAAGTGTTTACCTCTCTTGCATTTAACTCTTGCCACCCTCCCAGTAATCTGCCCTGCCTCCATCATGTTTTCCCTTCTTCTTCACACAAGTTAACATTTGTCTACCCTCTAGTCAGCTACTTACCCCCTTACCCTGCCATGTCATAGGTCACACTTTTTATTTATTTTTTACAAAACAGATAAAGGTGTGCTTCCAGTATGTGAGAAACACCATCTGCTATCTTCTTTTCTTTAGAACCATCTGCTATCTTCTGTTCTTCAGAACCATGGCGCATGAAAAGGCTTTCAAACATCAAAGAATGTTTCTTTAAGTGTAAACCCCCTTTTTGACTTTTCTAGTATATTTGTCCTTTTGTGATGGACTAATTTCAGTCAGCCTAATGTCCTTCAGACTCATCCATGTTTAGTAGATTTGTTGTTACTCTGTACCATTGTGTAGTACTCCACTGTGTATACACACTAAAACTTATTTATCTTTTTTTCCTTGCGATGGGCTGCTATGTAGGTTGTTTCTACATTTTTGTTATTGTGAATAGTGTTGTAGTGAACACGGATG